ATCACCAATTGTTTATTGATTTAATACTTAGATTTTATCAAAGTTTCACTCTGAGAAATAATTTTATTTGAAATATACTAATTTACATGTATGACTTATTTAAACAGGATCAAATGAACATTTTACAATTCTGTCGGTAATTATAATAAAATATCAAATAATAATGAACTAAACAATTTTAACTCTATTGATCAGCATATGAATTCAGGAAATAAAGGGAATTTTTTATAATATATTGACAATATATCTCAATGAATGTTTTATTACATAACACATAAACAGAAAATTTCCAAATTAATAATTTCCAATCAAAATAAACATAACATTAAATAGTTGCTTTAAATATTTTACTTGAATGTTTAGTAAACTTGATTAGTTATTGGCTAGCAGTGAAACTTAAGACGTACATTTTGTTTCATATGAGACTCGTCAGTTGTATGTTCTAGCATCACATTGATAATGTTTACACAACCATTAGAACACATTACCTTTTTCTTTAAATACCTATTGCTTTAATTAAAGAGCTGCTGAGTCCATACATTCACAGGCTTGTGCAACGGTTAAAAGCCAGAATCTTTTCGTTGTTGCTAAGGGTCAGAGTCTATTAGTCTCTTTTGACATATGTATATCCTTAGCCAATTGCGTTAATATGCCCATCTAGTAACAAGCATTTTAATAAAGTTGGTCTTCAGGAGACAGTAATAATAATAATAACAACAACAATGGGAAGATTTGAACACAAATTTTCGCTCAAATTTTATAGTTCTAAAAGTAGACTTTCATTGAGTGGGTTGGTCTCTCATATCTCAACCATGATAATTTATCAAGCCGAAGGTGTTCAAATGAACAGTGTTTATTAAAAGTTGTTTTTATTGTCAGCGTTGCACAGATGTGAGTCTAACTACTAATTTAAAATCTTTACAGAATAGATGTTGTATTTAATAAAATATATTTATTTAGAATATATATATATATATATATCCTAGGTATAGGGTTTGAAGATTGCTGAGTTTACTGGAATCGTGAACCAACCAATGTTAGACCATCATTGAGAACCTGGAAGCTCAGGACGGCCATTTCGTCATGGCGCAGAACTCTTTAGCTGTGAGCATCTACAATTCTACGCGCGGGAATCCAACCCAAGCACTTCGGTCACGTGTGCGGATGCTTAACCTCTAAACCAATAAGTTGGGATCCGACGGTGTGAAAATGCACATATATTTATACTCCAGAATCTCATTAACAAATATGCGATCAAACATCATTATTAAAAATAAAACTTGTAACTGATGTTAACGACTTCAAAAACGTTGTTCGGTTAAACACGTATAATCATGAAACTTTTACTTGATTAGTGAAAACACTTAACTCAGTAATAACTCCACTTTAATTGTTTTCTTTGAGTGAAATGGTCACATTTTATCAATAATACTAAAAGAACTCATGATTCACTCTGTTTAACACTGTTTACTATCAAATGGCTATGTAATAATACTAAAGATTTTGCTTGCCATGAGGCTACGGTTTCGTGTTTTATCATCACTACCTTTCTTTTCTTAGTGATCATCTAAAAAAAAATTAATTTTTATTAATTATTCTGTTAATAGCCACTTAGTTTGGACATGAAGTCTTAAAAACATTCCTTACTTTAAATTCTAATCATTTGAGAATTTTGTCTATACTCAACTGAAGTCATGTTACTCAGTATTCTAGTTACCATTAATTTACATCATATGTTTTCTAAAAAAACGTAGTGTTTCATCTCTAACTTAGCAGTTGCTGACTTTCTTGATCATTTAATATTGTTTATTTGTTGAAACTTCATTTATGATTCTCCAAACAATAAATGTTATCAACATAGCAATTAAAATGCGATCATATAAAGTAAAAACTCATATAATATAGATCTATTTTTGTTTACTTAAGGTTTAATTATCTTGTTTGCCTAATTTGTATTCCAACATAATTCTTCTTAGAAATCGATGTATGCCGAACAAAACATCTTAATGTCATTTGATGGAGTTATTTTCTATGATCTCATAAAATCTAATTTTATTAAATAATCAATTTATATTCGAGTTTTAGTTCATTCCTGTACTGTAAGTGTTATGTCTAAGAATGCTTCGAAGCATCTATTTGTCATTCTTTAACTTCTGCTATCAACCCCTTAAACTTAACGTTTATCGTTTATATACTATATTATTATATCAGTAAGTAGCTGTTACGCCAATAAATCTAAGAGTTTTGAGTTGTGACAGAGTTTATTTGAGAATTTTATGAGTGGAAAAATGGCGTTTATTAGACTATCTTTAAAACCAATATTTCTACATATAATAATTTCGAGTAGTGCATAAAACTATGGTTGCTTTTCAACAATTATTATCTAAACGGCTGGGGTGTTGGTTAATTAAACAAATGATGTAATTCATCAAACGTCTTCAAAAGGTAAAGAATTACCACGTGACGTTGATTAAAATTTGCTGGAGATGATGAACACTTTACATCACCAAACCAACTTAAAGTTTGTTCATGAAATCATTTTTACAATTTAGAAATGAAAATAGTTACTTCTATAATTTTGGAAGTCTTGTAATCGATCCTGACACAATTCAAGGTTTTATGATTTTGAAATACTTTAAATCATACAGAAGTAACTTTTTACATACTCCCCTTCATCTAAATCTTGAATTTAATCTAAGTCTAGAATATGCCCCAAGGCAAAGAGTATCGCTGATGTTGAAGTATAAAATGTACCTAAGCATAACGATCTATATGGATTAGCCTGCCTCAAACTAATGTATTTATATAATGAAGTGTCATATATGTTCGAATTACTTTGTTTAGCTGTGTCAAACATTTGTAGCACTTTTGTAATACAGTTTTCTTCAAAACATGATGATTAGAAAGTGTAGTAAAATGGCTTGGCATCAAAATGGTCCCGATGTCGGAAGTGCTGGTTAGTTACTACGTTACACCACAAACAATGACAAATAAAGTTAAACGTCCTTTTCTTAATAAGCTTAAAACCTTTAGCTAAATACAAATTAAGATGTAAACAGTAAAACGTTCTATGTCATCAGATGATTATTAACTTCAAAACACTTCTCTATAGTTTAATGGTAACTTCACATATTAGATGTACCAACGAAGTGACTTACAGTTCCGATAACGTAGTTCAACTTGATTAGTTAGAAAAAACACAAAGATAGCGTAGAAACATGGTATGTGAATTAGGCAGTGCATGTGAATATTTATACCGTTAAGTAGTCTTTATCTAAGTGTGAAATTAGGTGCTGATTAAAAAGGCATATATAGTGTAATTTTCGAATGTATGACTCATCTGAGTTGCTTTATTTTAAGGATTATATCTTTTAATGTTATTTGTAATAGTTGAGCTTTTGTCATCATGTTACTGATATTACATTACGCTAAAATATAATATTTTAAAATATAAACTTATTTCGTTATGAGGCAGTTTAGTTTATTAATTCATGGATTTGTTCACTTGCAGTTCGTGTTTGGAGCCGTATCTGAACTTTTATTTTTCAATATCAGGAATAGTTATAAAAATAATTGAAAGTCGTGAATGACCAATAACTAGTTTTTAAAGTTTTGTGTCACACATAAAGCTTGAACGTCGACATTACTAATCAATCGTCGCTAAGAGTTCAGCTGTCGGATGATTGCCTTCAGCAATTTGAAATAACCTTTTTTAATGAAAACCCCGATCTAAGAATAATTTACTCGAAATTAACTAAGATTTTGTTAATAAAAATAGTTGAGAGGACTTCTTTTGCCATCCTTAAAAACATGCTTAATCTTAAACTTTTAAAAATTTTAATCTGTTTTAAAAAAACAAAATGGGAATAAAAAGGATAACTAACACAGGATGTAATATGTATGAAATATGTGTTGATAATAGTTCCAATACGAGATGTTATGTCACTTTTTCATGCTATTCGCATGTAAACTACTCAAAACGTCATATACTACGTTCAATTTTCTACTAGACAACACTTTATAACTTAATGAACGTAATTAAGGTAACGTTTCAGTAATACTTTAGCATAGGTTCATTACATTTGGGAACACCTCAAACTAAACCTTTGAAATAGAAAGTTATTTAGCTCTGGTTAAGTAACAAAAGGGCTGTGCGACGGATGAACAGAAAAGAAGCACTACTCAAGGATAAGTCAAACTTTTAAGGTCATGCAAATTCATGGAATGTCATTATATTGGTTGATTTGTTTTTCATAAACCAGTACATAGAAACTAAGTACTTCTGTTTTTGAGTGAAATATCTTTGTGTATAATCATTCGGTAAAATCATGATTTTAATGAAAAAAAAATCATTTTTCGAGATTGGATAAAAAGTGACATGATGCTATTAAGTTCAACCAGGCTACAAAACTTCGTGTTAAAAGTTGGATACTGCAAAAACATAAATCATTTTTTACTTGAGTTAAATGATGTGATCCAATTAGAATTCGATGATTGGTCATAAGTATCATGCCGACTTTACCAGTGCAATAGCTTTAGACGCCCAAATAAAATAGATGTAGAAGGCTTTTGTGACGATCCGTGATCATGAATATGTTTGTAAGTTAAATTTAAAGGAATTCATCAAAATAGATATTCTTTCTAGATAAAAGATTATCTTAGATGTGAATTTTCATGTTTATTTCGTAGGTACGTTTACAACGTGGTGCACTAAAATGATGGAACAAACCTGTTTTTATTTTAGTTAGAGCATAATATGGAATATTGAATGAATCTGAATCTGAAAGGCATATGCTGAAGACGCAACAAAATATGCGCTCAAATAGCGCTATGTTCGTTTGTATTTTATGTTATAATATTGTTAACTTTTACAGGCATTTCATAGGAGGCTCATAAACCTCAACTTTTTAAATAAAAGCGTATAAATGCATTTATAACTATAACATAGACGTTAAGTAACTGAGACTAAAAACGTGTGATTTTCAAATAAAAAAACTCACTTTCTCGTAGCGTAAAATTTCTTTCCTTTCATGCAACGATAGGTTATCACGATACAAATTTACAGCTTCTAGAGGAGAAATCCCTTCAGGATGTTCACCAGTAGGATAAACACCATTCCTTATAGTGGATCTATCCAACCGTTCGAGGTTGAATGTAGATTTGTTGTCGAGTTGTATAGGCATGTGTAATTAGTAAAAGGTACTCGAATATTAAACAGTTAGTGACAAACTCCGAGACACTTCATAATATTGCTCTATGAAACAGAAGACCTTGAAAAAAAATAAACACGTTTAAACAAAACAAATGTTTTATTTGCAAGGCCCAAGAATGAAGAATTTCGTTAAAGATTTTCCCTTTTGACACTTTAAAACAATATTCTTCCTTAATACCGAAAATCCTTTTGCAATAAAAACCGTTAGAATTCTATGTCATCAACATCTCCCATATTTTGGGAGGTTTTTGTTAGCAATCCCCTTATTTCCATGATTTTTCGAAAAGTTCTCTAAACGTTTTAGAGAAAACCTTAGAATTGATAATGCGCAGTTTTCCGGACAAATTCTTAGGAATCAGTGCATTTTTAACCTTTGAAGATGTAATTAAAATTAATATTATTTTCAATATTACCATGGACTTTGGTCATGAATATATAATTGATGTTGAGGTTTCGTCTTTGTAGGTCAAACTGACACGAGATAATTAGTTGTCGATTGTACATCACTTTTTCGAAAACCTCACTTCATGTAGGTGAGTTATTTGCACTGTCCACAATTTCTATTAACGCTTTACTTCAGCCTCACTACAGTCAAATGTATCTTTTAGGAACAGTAATATGGAGCTTGACGAATGTGATAAAAGACGAGTTACAGCCAATAGAACATTAAATTTGATGAGTTGGCCCATATCATCATTCAATAGGAGGTTGAGTAAGTTAAGAGCTGAGTTTGAGAAGTGTCAGCTAACGACCACTGACTACAAGGATTACAGAACAGTTGGTGTTGGAGAAGGATGCATCGCCGTAGGCGCAGGGCAGTGTATTAAAATGCAACACAAGCCATGAACGTTGCCAGCCAGGCTTGTAGTGGCATTGGACAATAGCCACACAATCCACAAAGCTGTGAACACGAGACTACTCAGAAAATAGATATTCAATATTTAGCGCGGAGAAATACCTAACAATGAAGAAGGCGCGAACAGTGAACTGAATGGACTGGAGTTGATCGAGTGGCATGGCTCGGCCATGCAGGCGTGGTCTCTGCTGAATGTTACCTTATATCTTCTATTCATATTAAATATAGTGTTCTTTCTCTAGCCTAACCTTGTTCTACATCATGTATTGGTAATTGATACGATACAGTGAGATGGTGTAGTCGATGGTGTGACATCCACGTAAGATCTTACAGATTAGGCAGTTATATTATGACGAATCTAAAAATTTAGGATTAGGTCTATTATTAGAGCAGTACTAATATCATAGTAGACCATAATTCTACATTGGTGAGCCCAACTAAAGGAACGCAACCCATTACTGTTAATCCTTATATCCACCTTAACCTTCTCAATCGGTTTTTATTTTTGTAAACCCAGTATTCCAATAGTCCTTTGATTAATGGTCACATATATTATCGTAATGTTATATCTATTAGTTCACATAACTTACTAGCTCAATCGATAATAAAAGTTGATCATCTATATCAACTAATTAGCTTTGATGGTTCGTTAACAAGCTTTAATAGGATTTACATGCTTCAGCGACATAAACTCGTTCAAACATCAAGCTCTAGCAAATATGACCTGTAAATAGCGTAAATATACATTGACTAACAATGCAATCAAGGACTAAATAGTTATCTGGATCTAATTCTTAGTGTTCCTTCACTTAACACCTCATCCTGTTTTAAACTACGCACTATCCTGTAATATCTTTTCCTCCAACCACTGCCTGCCTAATTTCATATTCTCGAGTTCCATTGCCAAACAACAAGGATGACACTTCTCCAAAAAGTACGGTGAGGTCCAGCTATAAGTTTTCTGCAATCATAAGTTAATTTTAGATGGCTCATTCAATCGCACACACAATTATCTGAATTCATTCGGTTGTTCTAATCCGAGCGAGTGGCAAAAACGTCAACAGCATCAAGCACCCTGGGATTAATTGCCATACTGCATGTTTTATTCTGGATACTTTTGGATCATTACTACTCCTCACGAATGGCGTTATATATGTCGTCCACTGGATAATATAATTTTCAAAAATAATCCAGGCGAGTTCAACTATTTTACTTAATGATTCTTTTACTTAACATGCATATGTTTTCCGGTTCCTTTTGCTATATATTTGTAAGTGTCCCTAGGCTAAATGCAGTAACTTCTTATGGAATGTTTATAACGCATCATATTCCTGCCTGAAGTTTCACAAGCAGTCTAAACTTTAAAACTATTTTCTGGTCATGTTCATTATTTTTAAATCGTCATATATGTCAACAACCTGCATGTTAACCTGGCCCATATATACGTTACACTATATCTCCATGTCTTCTAAATTTAGAAATCATCTGAATCGCCTTTAACATTTATCAATAAACCCATCATAGTCGTTGTTGCTAATCATATTTGGGTTTATGGATTGGTTTATCATATTAGCAGCCTAAAATGCAAACATAGTTTAGATAATAAAATTAAAAATTTAGGTACTATCAACTGCACTAGTAAAATAACTAAATCCCTAGGTAGCTGTTGGTTAAACAAACGTTTAAAATCAAAGCTCCGTAGCCTACTAGAATTAACACTAAACGAATCTTTCTGATATAAAATTTATAATTAAATTAGGCGTCTCGGATTCTTTAACGTTACAAATTTCTGATAATTTCGCATCACCTAAAGCAACAATACCTATTTTTCCACTGACTAATCCTCATTCAACACTATAACTAGTTAAACATAATAGTTTCAAGATATCGTCATAAAGCATTGTCATGACTTGACAATCACGTGGTATGATTGATAAAATTGATGAAACTATTAACAAAATCAGTCAGCAAATTGACTTATAATTATCACTAGTGTTGTTTTTCTTTTATCTTCATTCACTACAGATGATTACAGTATGTTTTTCTATCAGATGCTTACTCAGTAAATATCTCGAAACCTTGTCAGTCTAATTGATGGTTTAGCGACAATCATGCATGCAAATAATCAGTATAAGCAGTCGAGCAAACCTCCTGTAAACTGAAAACAGCAATGTCGAATTTACCCCAACACTGACTAAGGTTCAAGCCATTATCATAGACATGAGTTGGGAGTGTACTCCCCCTGGTTACAACTTATGTTCTCCCTGATAATCACATGAGCATCACTTACTATTAATCATCTTGTAAAAACTTATTTAGCCAAATACATCTTGCAGCACCACATCAATTAGTAATATGACACATAAGCTTAACTGATTTCAATAACTTATAACCACTATATCTCAATTAAATCGTATTCCGCCTTATGATAAACTGCATACTTGCAACTAACTTGTGTGCTCAATCAGCCGGAAAGTATAAATATAAATAAATAGTCTGCCGTAGATCAGAACATTGAGTCTAGAGCATGTCTCTTACGAACACATTCATTATTAACGATTTTTTCCTAGCTATCTGTCCAAAATCCATATAACTATCACTCATGTATTTAAATTTTGTTTTGATAACCATTCATGTGTATTAGTAGTATTACTAAATTCTATCACGGTCAAGTAAAAATGAGGTTGAGAAAATCTCCACGTAACTAAATAAACCGTATCAAACTAACTGAAACACTAGTTGGAATTCTTCTCCACGGTATACTTTTGTTCCTTCAGTTAGCCTACTAATACAGATGCAATTGGAATTCAACTCATATGGACAACTTACCGGCATAATCGTTATCCGATTTCATAATTTAAACCAAAACTAATACCAATATTAACATTTCTACAATATTCATTACTTTAATATTTCTAAACACAAAATACTTACTACCTATACGTTAAGTTATTAACCAACATCTATTAACACGCATCGTTTTGTTATTATAATTATTATTGTAATCCCATTTTTTATAGCTCAAATAGTCTTCACCCAAATTTTCATTTGAAGCATGTTAAGCATGAAGGCAGATATTTTAAAATTATTACATGTATTTCCCGACCAGATGCTGCCGCTTTCGTTTTGATTTATCTTTCAGCTTATCAATATCCGGAGGATTCTTATTATCCTTGGTAACCTCCGGCGCGCGACGATCCCATCCAATTTGGTATCGAACCAACATCACGTTGATTCTGGTGGGAGAGTAGTGTAGTGGCATTGGACAATAGCCACACAATCCACAAAGCTGTGAACACGAGAGTACTCAGAAAATAGATATTCAATATTTAGCGCGGAGAAATACCTAACAATGAAGAAGGCGCGAACAGTGAACTGAATGGACTGGAGTTGATCGAGTGGCATGGCTCGGCCATGCAGGCGTGGTCTCTGCTGAATGTTACCTTATATCTTCTATTCATATTAAATATAGTGTTCTTTCTCTAGCCCCCCCCAAATGCCCTGGTACGGCCGCGAGTGGGGAAAGTCCGCTCTCCCTCTCGAAATGCTCTCACATGGCCACGCGTATATAGCCTCTGCCAGGGAAGTCCTTCTCACTGCCTTCTCGTGGCGGGGGTGTTATTTACAAAAATGAGAGGACGAAAAGCGAATGTCCGGCGCTTTAACCGGATTCCAAATCAATGGTGCACATGGGCTCCAGTATCCTGCGGGAACAAATGGCGTATGAACCAATCGTTGGTCACCGGCTACCATGTGACTGCATCTCCTTACGATGCTCCACTGCCTTGTGGGTAAGACCTCTAGGTCAAAGGCTCGGGGAGTGGCCCCCTAAGAAAACCACCTGCTTCGGTTTGGGCACCCGGGCAGTATCACAGCCCTCACACATATCGAATAAGATTTGTGTGGCGCATATGTATTTGGTGCCTTCTTGTACCAATATCTATGTGTTAAAATAAATAAATAAATTCTCTAGCCTAACCTTGTTCTACATCATGTATTGGTAATTGATACGATACAGTGAGTTGGTGTAGTCGATGGTGTGACATCCACGTAAGATCTTACAGATTAGGCAGTTATATTATGACGAATCTACAAATTTAGGATTAGGTCTATTATTAGAGCAGTACTAATATCATAGTAGACCATAATTCTACAGGCTTTCTTACATGGTACAAGATATAAACTCAATAAGCGTGGATGGTGATGTAAAGTA